TAACCTTACGCCCCCAAGGCCCTAAACCCTAAACCCTAAACCCTTAAAGGAGCCCTTAAAGGGACCCTAGGCCCTAAAACCGGCCTCTGTTCGGCCATATCAGACTCCTTGGGCTGATGCTCAGGGGCTTTGATGATGTCCAGCTTCCGGTTTAGGGGTTCAGGGTTTAGGGTGTAGGGTTTAGGGGTTCAGGGTTTAGGGCTGGGGCTGTGGATTTAGCGGTTGGAGTGGGGTTAGGGTTTTGCCTGTAGGGTTTGGTGTGTGTTTCGGGCTTTGTGGCTCGAGGTTGGAAGATGAGCGTGGCTGGGTTTATGATGAAGGTTTGCCTTCCATGGACTGCGAAAGGTAGTCGAGAAGGTGCCCCAGCTCGATAGTTTACTCAGAACCTTAAGCTCTAAAAGCCCTAAACCCTAAACCCTAAATCCCGAAATTGGGGCATTTGAGTTCGTCTTTATGCAGTAGTTGGGTCGCCATGCTTGGGGTTTGCACTTGGCGCTTAGGCTTGAGGGTTCCAAGGCGGTGGGTTCATGGTTCCTACCCTCACCCCCCAATCCTGGACGCCTAAACTGAAACCATCAAGCCATGTAGCCTGAAGCTACGGCCCAACACCCGAAAAGGCTTGTGGTCCTAACCCCCGAACCCCAAATGCTTAACCTCTGAGAGGGCCTCGCTTTCTTTGCAGGCCAATGTCTTTCTGCTGATGCCTCACGTCGAGACTGCGGTGCTGCTAGCCGGCGAAACCTTCTTCTTCGGCCAGCTGGACCGCTGCGGCTTAGGGTTTCGGGTTTGGGGACTACGAAACCCGCAATCCTTCCTAGACTCCTAGACCCTCCAAAACCTACTGTAGGGGCCTGAGTAATTACCTATACTGTTTTGGGGGCTCCTTACTATAGTTATAGTATAATGGGCCCCAAAACCTTATTCTAGATCAGTAAGGTCCCTATATTAATGGTTGGGTTGGCCCAGAAGAACAGGGGGGCAGAATTCAGACCAGTAGTCCTTAGGCGACGTGTCTGGTGTGGCAGATGGCTGGGTTGGGGCTTCCGGGTTTAGGGCCTTGAGGGTTTAGGTTTCGGTTTGGGGGTTTAGGGGTTTAGGGGTTTAGGGTTCAGGGTTCAGGGTTTAGGGTTGAGGGTTGAGGGTTGAGGGTTGAGGGTCAAGGTTTCGGGTTGGGGTTTCAGGGTTGAGGGCTGTGGAAAAAAGGCCACTTTGAAGCTAAGGTGCCGCGATCAGAGTCCTAGAGTAACTAAGCTAGAGAATTCAGAGGAGCAGAAAAGAAAGTGTATGACCCCACAGAGCTCGCAAGCTATCGGCTAAGTCATAAGCCTCACATTACTCATATGAAGTAGGGCGTATGCTAGGGTTCTTGTTTTGGTGAGCGCCGAAATAAAGGCCTCCTTAGGGAGATTGCCAACATTTCCGATCTTATGATTTTGAGACTAGCAAATAAACCCTATACTTCCACTTGACTCAAGCAACAGAGGACGTGCGCCAGCAGTTTCGAGGCGGGGTGGTCTGCAGCAAAGGTTCTCTTTGTGAAGCAAGTAAGTAAGTAGGTACGCAAGCAAGCAAAAGTCTCCGTGTTTGAGAGTTTAGATTTACTGGTGTGCGACGGTAGGATCGGCAAGCGAGAGCTGAAGCACCTCCTTTCAACAGCGCAAATGGTTTATAAGGGCCTCAGGAAGGTATGATAACGAGGGGCTGCGATACAGAATGATCCGAGAAGATAGCTTTTTCCAGTTTGGGGTGGTCCGGGTTCGGAGTTTAGAGGTGAAGGGGGTGCATGGTGATGATCGCCGGTGGCCATTGCGACGGAAACCGACAGCGGAAGCGAAGTAGAGTCCGGATAACCTATCAGTGGATCTAAACCGTCTAGACCCCCTCAAACTGGAAAGTTCACCATGCCAAGCATCCATAGATCCTAAACCATGAACTCAAACCGCAAGGCCCATCCTGGACTCCTTATACGACTCTTCGTCCCAAGAGCTTCAGCCGATGAATGCTTTGCATAGAGGGTCATACTCGACCCGGTACTTACTTTTCCAGACTCGAGGAATGAAGATACTAACCATAAACAAAGCGAGGTACCCCAAGCGAGAGACGTCGGGTATGATCTTCTGCTTTTCGCCATGTCCCCCGCAACCCTAAATGCTACACCTCAAGCCCTGATCCCAAAGCCTCTAAAACTTAAATCCACCACACTTAACAGAAAGACAACAAGCATGCACCGCCCTGTCAGACCTCATTTCTCTGAAGTCCCTACACCAAAAGCCCTGCCTAAACCCCCAAAAGCAGGGAAAATAATGACTCAACACCTATAAACGGCCATTATTCTAGATACTCGTGGGGTCGAAAGACACCTTAAACCAGACAGACTAGGAATTTGCGATGACCCTAAACCCGAGACCCCTAAACCCCCAACCCATAAACCCTAAGTCCCGAAACCCTAACCCTAAACCCTACACTCTTTCACCCTTGGAGGCTCCGAATGGAACTGGCGCTCGTACTACTTCGCGCCACCCGGACGTTCAACTCAGCTGTCGTGGTTTCGGGTTGAGGGTTTTTGGCTCAGGGGCTGCTATGGGTATTGTTTTGGGGCTTGAGAGATCATGGGAGTTGGGTTTAGGGCGTTGAGAGTTTGAGGGTTTGGGGTTTGGGGGCTAGGGATTAGGGTTTCTGGGTGATTACATAGGGTTTCGAGAATAGCCCTAAACACCCGAATCCGACTCGAGGCTGAAAAGCGGGCCGGTAGCGTTGCGGAAGCTTGTCTGGTGTGACTCGGCAGGTTTAGGGTTTAGAGTGTGTTGGGGTTTAGGGTTTAGGGGTTTCGGGTTAGGGGTTTAAGGCTTAGGGTTTAGGGTTTAGGGTTGAATATGGAAGCCTAAAAAATTACCAATACTATATTGCAGGTTCCTTATTATTATTACAGTATAATGGGCCCCAGAACCTTATTATTCTAACTGTTAAGGTGTCTTTTGGGGGTTCGGGACTCCTTTCGGAAGGCGAGGAGTCCCTGCTTAGGATGCCGGCTAAATTCCGAACCCCACGCCTTCGGGTTGAGGGCTCAGGGGTTTAGGGTTTAGGGTTTAGGATTTTCCTCAAAGTTGCAGGCAAAAGCGTGATCATTGGTTGGAGACCAAAGAAGCACATGAATGGAAGCCGATTGCCTTGTACGGAAAACACCTGTAGAAGTTGACTTCTGGTACTTTTTGGTGGTTCTTAATTCACCATATATACAACCTCGACTCCATACCCTCCATCGTTTAGGGTCCTGTGACTCCAAGAGTTGGTTATTATTTAGAGGAGTAATTAGGCGCCTTTGTTGTCGTGCCACCTACCGTTTTGACGATGTCTTGTTCGTAAGCTACACCATACATGCTCTTCCGCTCAAAACCTTGAGTCTGAAATCCTCAACTGTATGCCTTTGCAGTTACAATTCCAGACCCTCCGACCGTATCGCACCGTACAAAGGCAAACGGCCCACCGATGAACTTTGCGCGGGCGTCGTGCCCGTGCTTCTTGCCTTGTGTAGACTGTGAAAGGCGCTGAGGGTTCAACGCTTATGACAAAGCCCTACCTGAACCCACCAAAGTCGGTAAAATAATTGCCCAACACCTATAGACGTGTAGTGCTCGACATGCTTTGTGCGTCGAGGTATGACGCCACGCCCTAAATCCTGAACCCTGATAACTTGCTCGACGAAGGAAAGAAAATTGGAAGCCAGAACCCTAGGCTAATTATGCATTAAAGCCCCTCCTAAACCCAAACCCTAAACCCTGAACCCCCCACCCTTAAGCCTGCACCTTTAAACATCAACACGTACCCCTAAAACCGTGGGCCTTAGAAGGCCTTGTGCCGTGCAGACAGCTCAGTACGAGGCTTTTAACCAGACCTGTAGTATAGCGTCCTTTAGTCGTCTCAATAGAATCTTGCGGTATGGCTATCTCCGACCATGAAAGTAAATCCACTATTACCAACTAAGCAGAGCCAGCGATCATGATCATTTTTTATCAGGGGCAGGGCTAGGTGCAGGGTGAGAGGGGCTCAGGGCTGCGGCATTGAATTTTCAAAGCTTGAGGTTTGGGATTGAGGGATATCAAGCCCAAAAACCCTTTCTGCTTGAGCCCATAGATGATGTCCATCATGCGTGGGTAGGCAGGGAGCCGTAAACCCTGAACCCTCCGAAATCCCACCCCCCCAAACCCAAATCCCCGAGCCTCAAGGCCTCAAAACCGTATACCGGAAGCCCGAAAGCCTACATGTCCGATTTCCCACATTCCAGCCGGGCCAGACTGGAGCTTGGCGTTGTGGCGCGTGGCTCAAGCGAGATTTTAAGGGCAAGCCATCTTATCCCTAACTAGTATGGTCCTACCTGTTGTTCGTGGCTTCTTATGCATTATGCGCCCGAGCACAGACTTTCTAGGCACCCACGGAATAGTAGGTTGTTAACGATGATACTGTTTGGGGTTCAGAGCGTTTAGGTTTTAGGTTGAAGAGCCCTTAAATAAAGGAGCCCTTGAAGGAACCCTTTTAGGAGAGCCCTTAAAGGAGCCCTTATAAGACCCTTAAAGGAGCCTTTATAAGACCCTTAAAGGAGCCCCTATATTATAAGAACCCCTGAAGGGTTGAGCTATGGATTTGGGGCCGAGTTTTCTAGGTTGAAAGCTGAGGAGCACCTCTCAGCGCCGGTGCCTTAAGGGTTTAGGGTTTTATAGGGTTTAGATTTTAGGTTTAGGGTTTAGGGTTTATCTTTTAGGGTCTAGGGTTAGGGTTTATTTTTAGGGTTTAGGGCTTACAGGGTTTAAAGGTTCTGCACCTTTTGCAGATGTTTATGCAACCAGGCAAAGTTCACTGAGTCTTCTAAGGTTGCTGCAGACCCCCGATTCCGAAGCCCCCTGTCTGTGGGGCCCTTAACACTCAGAGCCCTAGTCTACGCGTTCTTTAGGGACGGGGCGGCTCGTAAGCCGGATCTACATTGCTTGGCTTCTACCTGCCCAGCCATGGTCGGCAAGAAGGGCGGCAAAGGTGCAGAGCCGTCAAGTGGAAGTGCCAAGGACGACATCTTCCCTTGACCGTTGAAGCTTTGGGGTTAGGATTTAGGATTTAGGGTTGGGGGTTGAGGGTTTACCCTCGCTGTCCCTTGTTATGGAATCCCAGTTCAGGTGTCCCCAAAACCTAAACCCTAAAGCCTATCTTCAGTTCCAAGAGGGGTCAGGTTTCAGACCCGAACGGGTTTTGGGGTTTCGGGCTCAAGGGGTTTAGGGGGACTCCCTTCTTAGTATAGGGGCCTTCATACTTAGAATAGGGTTTGGGGGCCCATTATACTATAATTAAAATAAAGGACCCCCCCCAAAATAATAGTGGTAATTATAAAGGCTCCTACATCAGGGAATTTAGGGTCTAGGGTGCTGGGCACGCGCTCAGGGTTAGGAGGTTTGAGGGGTTCTACAGCTGCAGGGAGCTTATTATAGGGGCCTCAAGAATTACCTATGTTATCTTGGGGTCTCCTTATTATAAGTATGCTACAAGGGACCCCAAAACCCTATTCTAAGTATTAAGGCCCCTACATTACTCTACTTAGGTTCCCAGACACTGCACCCTAAATCTCTTCCGACATTCCAAACTTTGAAAACACTCTCCTTGACAGGGAGTCCTGAAAATCCTCCGCGTGAAACCCCGCACCCTCAACCTCGGCAACCTGAGACACCGAATCGCTAAGTTCGTAGCCGCCGCCAGAAAGTAGAGGGTATATTTAGGGTTTAGGGTTTAGGTCAGGTCCCCATGCTTTTCGACTAGCAGAACGGGATTCCCAGCAATAGTTATCCTTAGCCCATTGCCTTTTTGGAGCTCATGGTGCACATGGATTCCTAAAGCCAGGACCTTAAACCCTCTATCATCCTAGCCAGTGAGCCGTACATCTTGCATCTGAAGTTCATGCTAGCGCTGAAGCCGCACATCTTGCATCCGAAGTCCACCCTAGCCCTAGCCCTTCAGCAGAAATCTTGCCTCTGAAGTTCAGCCGAAAGAGGAGCAGTTCTGGAACGGCTTGAGCGCCGAGGATGCCAAGCACCTTGCTGTCATGGGCCTTGACTTAGGGCGTAAGGGTTCTGGGGTTTGGAGCCTAGGGGTGTATGCATTCAAGTTTTACGGTTAAGGGCTAGCCGCTTATGTTCCTCGAATCGTTCGTCCACAGTCCTGATTCGAAGACCATGAGAAAAAGCCCTGCTCTTCGATATCTTGTAATCAGAGCCGTCCCTCAATCCTGCAAACCCAAGTGATCCGGATAAACATGAGATGACAAAGATGCATTAAGCCCAACACGGAACCCTAAAGCCTGAACCCTAAACCCTAAACCCTAAACCCTAAACCCTAAACCCTAAACCCTAAACCCTAAACCCTAAAGCCTGAACCCTAAACCCTAGATGCATCGGAAGCCTTGGTAGAGGCTGGGGCTCCAAAATTCCTTGAACCAGGAATTCCATAACACGCACAAACCTACCTTTTTTGGGTTCCTTATTCTGATTAATTCATGTTCTAAGTCCTTCGAAAGGTAGGTTTTTCGTGGGGTTGAGGTACTCCTTAAATTTCAGTGGAGAGTCCGCAAAACCTTGAGATTTTGACGTCTTAAGAGACGTAGAAATTTAGAAGCCCTTAAAGCCTCAAGTCCTATAAGCCCCCAAAACTTAAGCCCCAAAGCCCTAAAAGCGTTAAAGGCCTGAGGCAGAATTGCTAAAGCCTAAACCCTAAAGCCTTAACCCTAAACAACCCTAAAGCCCTAAACCTAAAGCCCCAAACCCTGAAGCTCTAAACCCTAAACCACTATAAACCGAAACCCTAACCCTGAAGACCCAAACCCTAAACCTAAAAACCGAAAGCCCTAAAGCCTGAAGCCTTAAACCCGAAACCCCTACACCGAAACCCCTGGAAACCCTGAGTCTCTGAAGCCCTAGAACCTCAACACTCCCTAAACCCTAAACCCTAAACCCTCAACCCTCAACCCTAAACCCTAAACCCTAAACCCTAAACCCTAAACCCTCTCTTTCCGAGGCTTGCCAAGGCTTGGGACTGTGGCGATCTCGAGCATCTCCAGAGAATCAAGGCCAAGAAGGAGGCGCCCTGTAGGGCTTCTCGAACCCCCCCCCAAACTTAGTCTCTTTAGGGCTCCTCGACGTTTGTGGGTGTCGGGCTTCTAGAGGTTTGGGGTCTAGGGTTTAGGGTTTACCAACAGGGGTGGTTTCGACTCGGTTTGTTCGGGATTTCGTGTTTTGGTTCAGGGCAAAAAAGTTTTCAGGAAGGTTATGCTGAGATTTTTAAGATTGATCCTGGACTTGTTCTAGTTTGTACTACGCTGTATTCTAATGTTTGATTGTGCTATGGCAGGTGAGGTTATGTCTGGCTAGGTAGTGCATGCTATGATCCGCAATGCTATGCTGTGCTATGCCATGCTATGCCATGCTGTTTAATGCTATGTGATGCTATGTGATGTGATGTGATATGGTGTGATGTAAATGTTATTGGCAAAGGGTCTCGAAGGCAGGTCGCGGAGCACATGTTTGCTCCAAGCTCTGGAAAAGAGCTCATGGCTTTGCCGGAGTGCTGTGTCTGAGCTGTGGATGAGGAGGTACCGAGAATGGTACTTCTCAAAACAGAAGGGCGGGCACGAACGTCTTCATCCTCCCCCCCCACCCCCCCCCCACCCGCCCCCCAAACGAAACAACAAAGCCAAACAACAAAAACAACACAAACAAGAAAGCAGTGCGCAAAACGGGTCTAGCCGGTTATGTTTTTGTTGCTTGTGGCAGCACAAAACAGAAATCAAGCATGTCATCTAGATGCAGGTGCAAAAAGCTTAGAATCCCTCGCGCAGGCTATACTATAGGTTTCCAAGAAGGCAGCCCTGAACCCTGAGCCTTGAAGTATAAACCTTCCAGGACCTAGGAGGGTTTTAGGCTTTGGGGCTCGGGGCTGCTAGCGGCTTTTGCTTTTTGGAGCAGTTCGGGTTTAGGGTTGAGGGTCGCGCTTCTACTGAGACATCGGCTGTAAGCCCCGCGTGCTACACCCCACTTTTGCAACTGCATGTTGGAACATGACTGGTGCGAGCACACCATCAAGACCTCTGCAGTATGGCAGGAAGAACAAGGGTGCCATCGGGGAAGCCTAAGCCCTAAATCCTAAACCCTGAACCCCAAAGCCCTTGCCAGAGCTCAAGCAAGGCTCGACCAAAACACAACAAGCACTTTAAGGGTTCAGTAAGGGGTTTCTATGCAAAAGGTGCCCAGAATCATGTCTACGGTTTCGATAATCAAGGGTTCCTTTTGGGGTTTGAGTGAGTGGCTTTAGCTCTTCGTCTTGTTCAACAGCCCCCTGTGGAGCCCAGGTTCTGTAGAGAAGGTTCAATAATATAGGGGCCTGAATAATATTATTTTCGGGTTCCTTATCATGTAGTATAATAACCCTAAACCCTAAACCCTAAACCCTAAACCCTAAACCCTAAACCCTAAACCCTAAACCCCAAAACCTTGTTCTAAATTTTTGAGGCCCCTATGGGGTTGAGGGACTCCTGGGTTTAGGTTTGAAGTTGTTTTAGGGTTTAGGGTTTAGGGTTTAGGGTTTAGGGTTTAGGGTTTAGGGTTTAGGGTTTAGGGCTTAGTCCTCGACCCGGAAACGCCGTGTAATGTACCTGGCGATGTAGTTTTTGCGTCGGCTTGGGATTGAGGGTGCAAGGTTTCTGTTTCAGGCGCTTTCCTTGCTGCATCGGTTTTGGGTTCACTTTGGTTCCCTTTAAAACCCCGTGCCCTAAATCTCTAAACCCTGAGCTTTCCCTGGGCCCTGAACCTGACCATGGCCCATGAAAGACATCTTGCTTCTCATCTGGGCTCTTACCATGTATCCTATTTGTTTAAGTTTGGGGTCCCTAAACCCCAAACGATTTAGGATGTAGGGTCTATAGGACTCATCCCGAATCAGGTTCCTGCATAAGCCTGTCAAACAAGAGACATTTCCTTGCGGGCAAGTTGGCTTGACCAACGTCGCGCTTCGGAGTGGAGGTTGCGAGGCTTTTAGGGCCCTTCCCTTAAGCTCCAAACCCCGATTCAGGGACACCCAAGACCCTGAAATCGACATCTGAACTCTGAACCGTAAACCCCAAAACCCCAAAATCCTAAACCCCAAAAATCCGAAGCCCTAAACCTTAAACCCTATAGGAAACAGCAGACGGGAGGCCGATGAGAAGAAAGAGAAGGATCGGCAGTATTACACCATGAAGCAGAACGAGAGGAAGCAGCAGTGGGAGAAGGACCTGTAGGTTCGAGGATGGCTTAGGGTTTAGGGCTTAGGGCTTAGGGTTTCTATAGGGGTTTTCAGATGGCGTTTCCCCTAAACCCTAAACCCTAAACCCTAAACCCTAAACCCTAAACCCTAAACCCAAAAGGGTTTCCCATAAAGTTTCGTATAAGGATGTTTCAGGGTGCAGTTCTCGGAGTTTAAAGTTCAGGGGTACGGGGTTCAGGATTGGGTCCGGCAAAACTCTAGCTTTCGTCACGGCGTCTTCTTCATTGACGAGCCGGAGTTTGGGGTTTAGGGTTTAGGAGTCTAGGGTTTAGGGTTTAGGGCTTAGGATTTGTAGGGTTTAAGGGTTTCGGGGTGAAGGGGCTTGGGGGTGTAGGGTTTGGCATGGGGATTTAGGGGGTTCACCCACGAACCTAGTAGCCGTAGAACCCAAAGCCCTAACAACAAACACAATCAAGACCTTTCTATGTAAAATTTCAGTTTAGGGTCTCTGCTTAGTTGCATTAGCTGAGGGCTTAGGGTTTGTAGCCTTAAGCCCTAGACATTGTACGCTCTAAACCTCTGAAGAACACCGCCGCCGGAGGAGGAAGCCAAGAAGCAGCGCGACAAAGCCCGAGAGGAGAGTGCCTTTGCCACGAATTGTTCCACCATGTCGCTTAGCCCTTGGATCCGCTTTTTGTTGTTACGACGATGGCTACCATTATGTGCTATCGCGATATGATTGTTTTCAGGAGCATGAGTATTGTAAGCGTCGTTCCGAACACCCGTATCTAGTAATCATGACGGTGATGCTTATCTTCTTCTTTGAGGGAGCTAGCTGCATCTTGCGCCGGAACTTCAGGCACTTGTTGTGGAAAGCCCTAACCTCCGCAACCCAAAGCCTCGAACCCTGAACCTATAGTAAGGCTAAGCCCTAACACCGTTAAGCCCTGAAGCCCAAAACCCCTGAAGCAACAAGGCTTTACACGGCTTTAGGCCCGCAGGTAGTCAAGTAGCCACCCCGAAACCGTATATCAGCTCTGTAGCCCAAAGCCCCCCCCTTCGCTGAACCCTATAGCCCCAAGCCCTAAACCCCAAAACTAAGCCCTAAACCCTAACCGCCCTAAGCCCGAAACCCCAAAACTATGCCCAAACCCCTAAACCAGGGGCCCTAAACCCCAAAACTCAGCCCTAAGGCCTAAACCCTATCACCCCAAGCCCGAAACCCTACCCCTAAACCTCAAACCCTAAACGCTTGACCCAAAGCCCTAAACTCTACACCCTTGACCCAAAGCCCTAAACCCTACAGCAGTTTACTAGCCGAGGCAAGTGGCTCGCCGACTTGGAGAAGAACCATGGAGCACGTAATATAGGGGCCTAAAGAATTACCTATACTACGCTTGATGATATAAATCCTGCATTACCCACAATAAGGAATATATACCATAACTCTCGTAGTTCAGGGTCCGTAAGGTTATGCAGGATGTATACAATCAACAGTATTTTGGTGGTTCCTTATTAGAGTTATACTATAATATACCCCCAAAAAAACCCTATTCTAATTATTTAGGCCTCTACATTAGTATTGTTTCTCTAAGGCCCTTACCAGGGCTTGCGGTTTGCCCTAAACCACTCCCAAACCACTGAATCCGCAGCCCTGAACCCAAAATCACGAAATCCTATAAATCCTGAGCCCTAAACCCTAAACCGTAAACCCTTCGCGCCTGTTCCGGTTTGGGACTTCTCTGGGTTTGCTCAGAGTTTAGGGTTTAGGGTTTAGGGTTTAGGGTTTAGGGTTTAGGGTTTGGCATTCAGCTTCCGTCTTTTTGTGTGGGGGCCCCTTTCTACGCCAGCGCCACGGTCGCTTGACGCGCAAAGTGGCACCACCTTAAACCCCTGTGTGATGTGGCGCTATCTTTGCACATATTTCCGGCCGCTGCGCCGGAAGACACCCTATCCCTAATGCCTATAAGTCTACGTAATTACATTCATCTCACCTTATACGCCCTAGGATAAAGTAGGGCTACTGTGGTTGAAGATACACGTTGAAGCCTAGAAGGCTTAAGCTCCCTAGCTTGTATAGGGCTTACCTTTAAATTTGGTAGGTTCTTATTATAAAATCCGACTATAGAGTCTATAGGGATCCTACAAGACATATATAGGTTTTTGTAGTTCAAGGTAGGGTTTAGGGCTCCTGACACCAAGAACGCCGAAGCCTCGACAAGCCGCATCTTCCTGTTGGGGATAGTGAGGGCTGTGTTTTAGGGTTTTAGGGTTTAGGGTTTAGGGTTTAGGGTTTAGGATTGAGGGCTCAGGGGTTTGAGCGCTTGTAGGTTGTAGGGGTTTAGGGAAGCAGCATTTACGGTTCGGGCCTCAAGAGTTTAGGAGTTTAGGGTTTCCAGGCTTGGGTTTAGGGTTTACGGTTTCATATCCGGAACCTCTTCGCCTGAGCACCTCCCGTGAGTTCCGACGTCCAAGGATCAAACAGCGAGCGTTGAGGGAAAAAGTTGTGGAGGCCGCGCCAACGCTGCCCGAGCACATGAACTGCATGCGATGCAGCGCAGTGCATTGCATTATCCTATGCTACCTTATACCACACTGTACATATATTAGTATATTAGTTATCACATTGCACTACGGTCTATGTCGCTACACTGCATGTCACTACATGTCACTACATTCCATACAGCGTTACATAGAGCATGCGTTTGGGTAGATGAGTAGTCAGAACGACGGTTCAGCTAGATAGACTACAGGGTGATACATCGTAAAGGTAGCTAGACCAGTAGATAACTAAATTGGCTGTCATGCATATCCCCAAGGTTTTGACACCCCTGAAACGAAGTCTCTGAAGGCTAGGGAACGAGGAATTTCGGGCCAAGGGTTTTGCATGTCCACGTTCGGTGGAAGAGAACCTTACAGTAAGACGGATTTGAACTTGTGTGTTAATTTGCTTGGTCCAGTAAAGCTTGGGAATTCGTAGGACTAAGCGTGAGCTTAGGGCATTTTTGCCTGTAGCCAGCTTACCTAGGCAGTGGATGGGGCAAAATGTGCATGCCAGAGCTTTGACTCATGATGTCACTCATCGGCATGAGCCCAAAGCCCTAAACCCGAAACCCTAAACCCTAAACCTAAACCCGAAGCCGAACAACACAACAAATCCCCATCTCCTCGAGACCGTTTGCGTGCTGGCAATGTCCTTTGTGATTGGCACCCTATTTTCCTAAGGTTTTAACTGTGCCTTGAAGGGTTCTGTGAAGGCCGAGGTTGCAGGAGAGGGTATCGGCTTCGGTGGCCGGTTTGGTCTGAGGGTTTAGATTCTAAAACTTCAGGGTTTAGGGTTTAGGGTCTGGAAAGCCTATACAGCACCTGCAACCTCAACAGAGCCAAACAAAGAGAACACCCTCCAGATGCACAGCGCCCTAAATCTCAAAATCCAAGCCCTAAGCTCAAAGCCCCATAGACACGCGACAGCCATCGCACCGGAGGCTTGGTATGATGGGTCCCAAGGAAAAAGCTATGCCGCACGTCTCAACGATTTGGGATTGGGAAAGTTGCGGTTTACGATCAGGTCAGAAGAAAGCTGTGCGAGAATTGCAGCCCAAAGTTTTAAATCGGGCCAGCCTCCTTTCTGAACCCAGCGTTATTAAGGGGCGTTGGTTGAGGTTTCGGGTTGAGGTTTTGGGGTTCAGTTGCAGCTATCGGCATTTCCTTGCATGCTCGAGCATGCCGGTGTCCTAGGGTTAAGCCCGAGCCCAAAACCTAAACCCTACACTAACACGAAGCCGCGCGCTTACGTTGAAGGCCTTTGGTTCCTTTCTGGGCTTACAGATTTGAGTGAAGTCCAAACCAGCTATAGTGGAGCCGAAACCAAATACTGAAATCGTCTCTCTGAGCTCCCGCAGTGAAGTGTTTAGGATTAATTCAGCGTTAAGATGTCAAAATCCGATAACCCTAAACCCTGAACCCCTAAACCCCTACAGCGAACCTCAGAAAGTGGGAACATGGATTCAGGATGATTAGTGCTAGGATCCCTTATACTTTATATCTTAAGGGTACCAGGAAAATGATGTTCCAACTTTCTGGCTTCCGCTGTAAACCCCTAAAGCCCTATAGATCCTGAAAGGCCTAAACTTTGGGGACCCTCCACCCCGTCAGCCCTACACCGGAAAATCCTACACCTGAAATTCTGAACCCCAGAACTCCATCAGCTTTACCTGGACCCTAAAGAAGTTTCTTTAAATAAGTATGTAAACATGTAGGTCATTTGGGGTGAAGGCTCAGGTACACCCTGTGCTCTACAGCTTGACAGTCTAAACCCTGACGCCAGACACCTCAGGCAGAGATTGGCCCCGGCACTTGGAAGGAGAGGGGAGAAGTGGGGCCCGGGTTGGCAGTTAGGCTGAAAGGATTCGAGTGGTTGAGAGTTTCCGGGGTTCGGGGTTTAGTGTTTCAAGTTTAGGGTTAAAGGGTTAGGGTTTAGAGTCAAGGGTTAAGGGTTTAGGTTTTCGGGTTTTCGGGTTGGGGGTGGTCCAGGGTTTAGGGCCCATCGTTCTTAACACGGACCCAACTGCTTCAGGCCATGAGTACACCCTCGCCTCCGTGCTATGTGGCGCTTTTTGAGTTCGGCGTTTGGCATTTTGGCTTAAACCCTAAACCCTAAACCCTAAACCCTAAACCCTAAACCCTAAACCCTAAACCCTAAACCCTAAACCCTAAACCCTATAGGCCCTGGGCCCTCAACCCTGAACTCCAGTTCGTGGTGGCTGCACTTCATCAGACGCAGGCAGAGGTTCCGACCCTAACCTCCGTTGATTGTGGTACTTTGGATTAGGCTGTGGTTTTCTGGCCTTATAGTCGAGGATCCGTGCTTTTGGGTTTAGGGTTTTTAGGGTTCCAGGGTTTGGAGAATTGTCATGCGCTTTACGAAGCTTTCCCCCTGGCGTAACACACACGTCTCAAACGTGGCAAGGTATTGCTGCAAACAGTAACACCTTGCGCCTGTCACTGAGGAATATTGGACCGTCTGGGGTGCCTGGGATGTGGGGTTTCGGGTTAGGCCTTAGGGTTGTTTCGAGGTTCCCATAAACCCGGAATTGCACAGGAGGTGCAGGGTGAGTTTTTCTGCACGCTCTGCGAGAAATGCCCGAATGGCGCTGCCCTCGTGCCTTCGCTTGTGGTTAAACATGATAAGCAGCCCCCACATAGACCCTTGAATCGATTTCCTGATTCTGTTCCCATGAAACAGTGATTGTCCAAGAAGCAGTACCTTTAGTCTCCATTCTAGTTCCTGTTTAGGGTTTACTGTATTATAGGATCCTTAAGTTATGACTTGGTTAAACCAAAACAAAAGCTACAATGGACGCTATAGGGGCAATTCAAGTTTGGGTCCCAGCCTCAGAGCTGGAAGCTTTGCAAAACTACGGCGGGAATCTAAACTCTCCACCCTAAACCTGGTCTAGGGTTTAGAGGTTTAGGGTTTATGGTTCAGGGTCTATTAATATCTGAAGCTGTGAAGCCCTTCATGCGATCAGTGTAGCAGTTTCAGGGATTCTTTATTGTTACTAGAACTGGGCTTTTGCTGATGTTGTTGCGTGATGCGAACATCATGAGTGCTATGACTGCTATGATGTCTTCGACTACTGTTGTCGGTACGTTGCGCTGGTCGTCGTCGCTGTAGTCGTCGCTGCCACATCAATGGTCATCATAGTGTGAGTAACAGTCTTAGAGACAATACTCCTGACAGTCAAGAGCGGAGTCGTGATGGTTTTGTCTAGTCATCGGTGTTCCCAGGAGGAGTCGGCATCTGTTTGCTGGACGTAGTACTGAGTTTCCGTTCATCCTCAGAGCGTTTTCAATCACACAGAAAGCTACAGCTTTAATTGTCTTGATCAACCCTACCCTATAGTCTCCATGGTACTTCCTTTTCTGGTTTATCCTACTTATATATTCAGGATCCTACGAAGTAACCGCCAAAACAGGAACTACAAGGGAGACTGAAGGTAAACCCGTAAGCGTTCTTTCCTAAGCCTGGCGAGTGAGTGGCAGTTTGCCTGGGGGTAATATAGGGCGCTTAATAATTCAATAATTAGAATAGGGCTTGGGGGTATACTATACTATAATTATACTATAAATCACTCCAAAAAACCCTATTCTAGTTATTAATGCCCCTATATTATTTTGACCTACCCTAAGTCCTGATAAAACCTCCAAATCCTATGCAGGCAATCCAAGCCTCTACCCCGCAACCCCTGAAACCCGAAAGCTCATCTGTTCTGGATTTACCAAGACCCACAGAGTGTAGTAAATGACGCCCTCACTGCGAGGGCAGTTGCAACTCTTATCCCAGCCATCTCATAAATGAGGGACCTTTCGGGCTTGGGTTCGGAGTTTTCTGTTTTTTTTAGGGTTTTGGGGTTTGGGGTTTAGGGTTTTGGGGTTTTGGGGTTTAGGGTTTAGGGTTTTGGGTTGTAGGGTTTAGGGTTTTAGGGTTTTGGGTTTCCTGAACCACTGGAACGACCAAGGAGTCGCACCTCAACAGTGAGGCCCACAAGAAGCAGCTCAGAGAACACTGAGTGCATGTCCAGTGAGTCTAGCATGTTTCAGTTGCCTGTAAGGGACATTAGGCCAAAACAGATGAAATTTTCAGCTTGGTTTCGGGTATGTGCTGGCTTTTTCACCGCTTTGTTCAGGTTTACTACACTGTCTGAGCTGATGGCTAAGGCATCTGCATGCGAGAGTAGGTTACTAGTTAACGGTTTGACGTCAGTGGTTTAGAGTTTAGTGTGTGCTTGGACCTGGAGATTTCACAAGTATTTCACAAGTACGCAGGGATACATGTAACAAAGACATCGCCAGTGAGTATACAGGGTCCCTTTTTAGGGGCCCTAAAATGGATCCGAAATTGGAGAACTACCCATATGTGTAGCCCGGGTATGAGTCTATATACTTTCCAATGAAGTCGTCCTCGTCGTTCGTGTTCTTCGGATTTCTTTGTTCTTGTAATCGTAAAGCTCCAAGGGGTTAGTTATGCAAGCTTGTGTTTTTGTTATGTTTCTGAGGTATACACTCAGATATTGAAAATACTTGGGCCCTAGAGTGAACGAGAGTAAGGCCCTGTCAAGCCCCCCCCCCCGACAGGGCTTTAATGGCTTAAGCCATGGGCACAGGTTCCTTACCCTAAACCCTAAACCCTAAACCCTAAACCCTAAACCCTAAACCCTAAACCCTAAACCCTAAACCCTAAACCCTAAGGCTGCCCTAAAGAAAGCCCAAGTCTCTCAGATTTCATAGAGCTGGACACTGACGACTTGTCTCCAGACTTTGGGGCCGAACCCTCAGAACCCTAAAGTTCAGGGGTTTTCAGGGTTTGGGGTTTAGAGTTTTCAGGGTCAGTGCTTCGGGTGTCGGAGTTGCCTGAAACCCAAAACGGGGAAGACGTCAGCAACAAGGGCCCCAAGCCCCTACCCCCTAAGCCTTAAGCCTAGACCCCAAGCCCCAGAGCCCAACTCCCCCTAAACCCTAGACCCTACATCCCCAAGCCTTATTTTCTGAAGCCCCTGACTCAACCAACCCAAACCTTAAACCCTAGGCTCTAAACCCTGAACACCTAAACCCCAAACCCTAAACCCTAAACGATTCCCCCCAAACAAAACAAAAGTGAACCCAGAGCCCTCAGCCCCGGATACACAGCCGAGCTTCTCCTAAACCTTGAACCTTAAGCCCAAAGTTGGAAAACTTTGCGGAACATGCATAGAACCCTTACTAGAACTTATAGAACCCCTACTGTAAGACCCTTGTAGAACACTTACAACAATGGTTGAAGAACAATTATCCAACCCTTGTACAACCTTCATAGAACCCTCATAGGACCAACTATAACCCTTATGCCCCAGGAAGCTTGCTTGGGCCATGGGTGCGGCCTATGCACCGGTGGCCACCCCGGCGTCTGCGGCGACGCCGATGCCACAGGCGCTTCTCCCGCTTCCTGCGCCGGTGATGCCCGAAGTCCCTCGGTGTGTTGAGGGGGATCGGGGTTACAGGGTGTGGGGCTTAATGTAGGTGCCTAAATAATTACCTATATTTTGGGGATTCTCTATTACTGTGGGGGCCCGAATAGTAGAGGCCCCCGCCCCCCCGCCCCGACCAAAAATGTTGGTTTGAATAGTGTGGAACCGGGGGCGCC